TCTGAAGCTGTTTCTATCTGAGCTGCTCAACTGAAGCTCAAGTCTGAGTTCAGCATTTCTCCTGACTCCACTGGAGGGAAACCCACCACCTGCCCACCTCCCTTTCCCGGGAGGTTGATGACCCCCACCCAGCCCTGTGACAAGCCCAGGGCACAGTGCCTCTGGCTAGGCCAGTGGAGCTGTGTGGGAGCGGGCATGGACGCGGGCACCCTGGCTGGTCAGGGGCCAGGCCCTTGCTGTTCAGAAGCCGACATTGTCCTATAACATTAAATGGGCGTCAGGTGCGTCTCTCGGTGAAACAACTCTCCCAACTGGCTCTGTCTCCTCACAACAGGCATTGTTACCTAGCTGCTCACCCCCATTGAGGGTCTTTCTGCCTCCTGCCTGGGGCTTCTCTAAGAGGCTGTGCCTGAATGCTTCCTTAAAAATCCAGGCTGAAGTGCTGGAGGGTAGCACAGCGGATAGGGGGCATTTGCGGCCGACTGGGGTTCGATTCCCAGCATCCCATATGGTCCCCTGAGCACCGCCAGGAGTAATTCCTGAGTGCAGAGCCAGGAGTAATTCCTGAGTGCAGAGCCAGGAGTAACCCCAGTGCATTGCCAGGTGTGACCCCTCCAAAAAAAAAAAATTCAGAGTGGAGCCATGGCACAGCGGGAGGGCTCTGGCCCTGCATGCAACTGACCCGGGTTCGATTCTGGGCACCCCATACAGTCCCAAGTCTGCCCTGAGCACAGAGCCAGTAATAAGTGCTGAGTACCACTGGATGTGACCCCAAACGAACAACATCCCAGGAGCGTCAAAGAAAGTTGTCTGTGAACGTTCTTCCAACAACAGGCCGGCCCCAGCTTCACACTCGCCACAGCCGCAATGGCCACAGAACAGTCCAGCAGATCCACCACCCCTCACTTCAGTCAAGATCTGCCAACCGTGGACAACAGGAAGTTGGAGGCCTCCAAACAACTGTGTAGGGGTTCTTGCCCTTCCAAGACACTTTTGATGAATGAATGAATGAATCATCAGCAAATCTCCCGAGACACAGCCCCTCTCGGCGGCACAGCACACCTCACACCCCTAAGAGAACGCTGCTGAGAATTTTGTCTCTCACCCAAGATGTATGGGGGTTGGGATGGGGGTAGTGGGAGAAAGTCAGTATTCAGTGACTGGAGCAAAATGAGTTGGGTCAAATCAAAGACTTTATTTTTATTTTTTTTTTTTAATGTAGGGACCAGAGGGGCCGGAGCGACAGCATAGCGGGTAGGGTGTTTGCCTTGCATGCGGCCAACCTGGGTTCGGTTCCTCTGCCCCTCTCGGAGAGCCCAGCAAGCTACTGAGAGTATCCCGCCCGCACGGCAAAGCCTGGCAAGCTACCTGTGATGTATGTGATATGCCAAAAACAGTAACAAGTCTCACAATGGAGACGTTACTGGTGCCTGCTTGAGCAAATCGATAAACAAGGGGAGAACAGTGCTACAGGGACCAGAGAGCTACAGTACAGCGGGTAGTGCGCCTGTCTTTCACAAAGCTGACCCGGGTCTGATCCCCAAGACCCCATATAGTCCCCTGAGCCCTTCAGGAGCAGTTCCTAAGCAGAGTCAGGATTCTTCCCTGAGTGAGGCCAGGTGTGGCCCCAAAACAAGCCAAAAATTTAAAAAAATATATTGTGTCTGTTACTGAAAAGAAACTACGACTTTCACAGCTCTGAGAGCAAGCCTGTATGAGAAGATCTACGAGACCACTCTTATCAAGAAGGAACGATCAGCCAAGGGGGTGGGGGGTGGGGGGTAGGGGGGAGTACAGTGGCCACGAAAGCTGGAGGGACTTTTTTGGTTCTTTTTTTTTTTTTTTTTGCTTTGATACAAAAGCAGCCTGCAAAGTGCCCTTTGAAATCACTGAAATCAAGGCAACAGGCCTCCTGGGAGAGCCACTTTGCAATTGTGAGGCATTAACAACTGTCTTGGGAGAACGTGTGAAGCTACTGAAGCAGTTGAAAAGTCGGGATATGGGTTATCTCCCTATAAACTGACCTAGAGAAAGACGGCGCCTCTCATTTGAGGCGACCCAGCAAACGGGACCACACGGTTCGAATGCCAAGGTCAGAAGGAAGGAGTCTGTCCCTTTAAAGCGGGGGGGGGGGGGGGGGGGGGGGGGGGGGGGGGGAACGGAACATTCTTTCCTGGAGAAGAGGCAGAACCTCTCCTCAGCCCCCTCCTATCTGCCAATGAAGTTTGACCCCAGCTCAATTTAACGCCCACGTGATGTCCCACCTCCTCCGACAGATTATCACCGGGGCTGTAAAACCCAGCATTCCACCAGGCTCCACCACAAATCCACATCACTTCAGACCCACTGAACAAATCCCAAAGGTTTGCCGGGGGGAAATGTGAGGGCTCCCAGGCTCAGTTCTTAGGGACCAGAATCCTAGCTGGCCTTAATTTGGGGACGGGGGAGGATTGTTTGTTTTTCCAAAGAGGACTCCCCACCCCCATCACCCAGCGCAGGGTCCGAGAACCAAATTCAAAAGAGACTCTTTCTCCCAATCTTCCCAGATGGAGGCAAGTGGCAGATCAATGTACAGCTCGCAGAGAGGAATTTAAATACAGTGAGCGCTAGCCTTTGGCACAGGAAAGAAACCACTTCACATTTTGCCAGACAAAAACCCCATCCGCAGGAGGTCAGCTTCCACCCGGCGGTTGCAAAGGTGTTAGAAAGAGGCCAGTGGGGAGGAGATAAAAGGCCATTTGGGCACAAACCCCCTGCCGACCGGGGCTTTTTTCTAAAGTGTCTCCTTTTCAACAGGGAAGCCTTTTAAAACTACATTTGCTTTGGAGGCCTACCTGAATGACAATGTGTGTGGATCCGATTTCACCTTTTGTCCAGGATCAAGTGAGAAACAGTAAAACCGCAGTCAGCATCTTAGAAATAGCAACTCCTTAGCTAATAAAGGGAAGGCGGTGGGCCCTAAGATCCCTAGAGCAGATGCAGAGAGAGGAAGAAGGTGACAAAATGCCTAGTAATCTTATGGGCACAGCCCCAAATGGCGACACATTAAATTTCCTTCAGAGCAAGAGGTGAAGCTGCAAAACTCCAATTGTTGGGGGGAGGGAGGAGGGCGGAATCTTAGGTTGGTTTTTTTTTTTCCTTCTAACATTTTAATTCTCTTTCCTCTAAGAGGCGCTTGCTTCACTCCTAAGAACTTTGCCGGCCCTCCCTGGAAATCGGCAGATGCATATGGAAAAAAATGGCAAGGCACTCTGAACCTGAAGGATGGAAGAGAAAAAGACAGCTCATTGATGTCTAATCGTGGGTGTCTAATAGCAGGCATCACTAATTAGACACCCCAGGAAACATCATATGAGACATTCGACATCACATTTCAAAGCCTGCCCGTTATTATCCAAAAGAAGAAATATCCTCATTCTGCAGCACTTCAGGGCCTCGGAGTTGGCAGACAAATATAAAATTACCTTCTGAGTCAAGCCTCCTTCAAATTCATCTCACTTCCATAAAAACAAAACCCAACCCTCTCTCCAAGATCCATGGAATGGGTCAGGGAAGTGGCAACACTTCCATAGAGAGGGAAAGATGGGGGGCGGGGCGGGAGGGAGTAGGGAAGGAGGTTTACAAAAAGACATCGGGAACTTGAATCCCCAAGTGACTCAAAAAGCTCTCTCATGGGGAGGTGGTCACAGTGCAACTGAAATCAGAAACCACTTCCAGGGACACATTCCTCGAAGCTTCAGCGCCCTGGAAAACCACATCCCTCCCGCTACTGTTGCTAGAATGCCCAGAGGTCACTTTAGGGAGGAATTGTCATCGAGAGGGTTCAGACTCTCCCTTATCACTTAGCCTCTCCTATCAGGTGGGCCTTTTCGCCAAGTACGTTACAATAATGGAGGGCTGGAGCAGGTAGTGATACCGCCTGGGGTCGGGCGCTTGGCGGCCAGCGAGGGGTGGGGGGGAGGAAGGGATTGATCCCCGGCGCCCCAGATGGTGGTCCCTGGAACCCTGCCAGGAGTAATCCCTAAGCACTGCCGGGTGTGGTTCCCAAATCAGAAAAATAAAATCAACCAGGACTAGAATCTGCAGGTGGTGTGTGTGTGTTGAGCAATTTTTACTACCGCTGGTTATTAATAACATCTTCAGGAATCCTTCTTCGCCGCGGGAAATCTTTCTTAAGCCCCCTCCACTTTGGGGTGTGTGTGGGGGGGGGGGTTGATAGTCAGTAAACAATGTAGAGAAAATGGGAACCTGATTCAGTGTATTCACTTAATCCGTCCCTCCCAAAGGGCACAGATAAAACAAGACCTAAATCTCACAGCCGACGGCGCGCAAACGACAAACAGGCAACAGACAAACACAGGCAGCAGAAAACCAGTCTCCAGCGCACACCCCGTCGGGGACCCGCAGCTCCTCCCGCTGTGCACCCGGCCGTAGAGACGGGGGCGCAGAGCCCGCTCCCCGGAGCAGTTCTCCGCGGGGGTCCAGGTGGTCCTGAAGCAGCTGCGCGCCCTGGGGGTCCTGCCCACCCCTAGCCGGGTCTCCGGGCGCGCCCATCCGTGCGCCTGGCGTGGGTCGGGGGCACGCGAGGAGGCGGTCAAGGGCTGGGAGGTTGGCGGGGAGTCTCCGAAGAACGTCCAAGCCGTCTGCCGCCTCCGGATGGGGACACAAAGAGGGCCGGAGAGTCCGCCGGAGTGGCAGGGGGCAAACAAGACTGTGGGAGAAAAAACCTGCCCGATCGGGGCCGAGGTGCGAGGCAAGCGGAGAGCCCTGGCCGAGAAAAAGGAACTGCACGAGGGCAGGGGCCAGTGCAGGAGAAGGGAGTGCATTCCTGCGTTGCAGAGGGAGAGGGGCTGGACCGTGCAGGGCACGGGAAGGTCCGGTGGCAACGCCGGGAGGGAGTTCTGTGCCAGCAGGAGAGATCGCAGCCTCGCCAGGCACGAAGACCCTGCATTCTGGGACTCGGGCCTGGCCAGGAGGAGAAGAGGGGGGCGCGCGCTTACCTGCATGGTGACGACCCCCAGCTCCTCGGCCGACAGTCTCTGCATCTGGCTCGCCAGCACCCGCGCCTCGTCCAGGATGGAGAAGTCGGCGCGGGCTCGGGCGCCCAGCAGCCAGCACGCCAGCAGGCACAGCAACCAGCGGGGTGGCCGCGGGGCCCCGGCCCGGCCCGGGCAGCCCGGGCGAGCCAGCACGGCCGCCGCCGCCGCCTGGTCCCCGCCGGGCTCGCGGGCCATCGCCGCCTCCCCGCCGCCGAGCAGCCGGCGCCGGCCGGGCGGGCGGGAGCCGCGCGGGGTCGCGCCCGGGGCCCGCTGGGCGCAGCAAAACTTTCTCTAAAGCGGCGCCCGCAGCTCCCAAACTTCGGGGGCGCCCGGCTCAGGGCGCGGGCGCGCGGGCCGCCGGCATCGCGGGGCTCCGGGACTGACAGTGGGCGCCGGCCGCCGCCGCCTTTTGGCTTCCCCGCGCCGGGTCCCGGTGCAGCGCGGCGGCCCGGGCCGAGCGGCGGCAGCAACCGCGCCGGGCGCGCTGCGAGGCCCGACGGAGCCAGGCAGGGCAGGAGGGGCGGGAGCGGGGTGGGGGGGCTCCGCGCAACCCGGGAAGGAAGAAAGAAAGGCGGCGGCGGCGGCGGCGGCGGCGGGTCGGGGAAAGGGAGGTGTCTGGTGCCACCACGCTGCGCTCCGGCTCCGTGCACTTCCCGGCTCGGCCGCCGCCGCCGCCGCTCGGCGGGGATTTATGGCAGGAGCGCGGGGGGCGGGGAAAATCGTCCCCCCACCTCCGCCCCCACCCCCCTGCCGTCGCCCCTCCTCTCCGGCCCCGGCTCCCGCCTCTACTGCAGCGCCCCCCGCCCCCCAACGCTCCAACCCCCGCTCCCCAAACCCCAGCCCGCCTCCGATTCCCGGGGAGCGGGGCTCGCCGCCCGCACCCTCCCTGCTGCCCCGACTGGAGTCCCGGGGACCTTGGGATTCCCGGGGAGCGCGCGCCCCCGGGTCCCACCCGCTGGAGGTTGCACCCATCCAAGTCCCTTGAAGTTGGACGTCGCTGGCGAGCAGCCCGGGCCCGGTCTGGGAAGCCGGGACGGCCGATCGCGCGACCCCACACCAGGTTCTCTCTCAACCTCCGCCGCGACGGATAACAATGGGGCTCGCACGCGACGGGCTCAACAGATTTTTCTCTCTTTTTCCTTTTCTTTCTTTCTTTTTTTTTTTTTTGCACCGGCTCCTGGGTGCCCGGCGCAGGGCTCTGGGTGGGGTTTGTGGACATGAGCCTTTAATCCTCACGACATCCCTAGGAGGTAGGGATCTTGATCCCCAAATTTTTAGGTAACAAAGGCCGAGGCTTAGAGAGGTGAAATGACTCGCCGACGGTCATCCCCCGGGGGAGGATGATGAGAGGCGATTCCCAAATGAAAGCCCAGCTCTCTGGTTCTTTAAAATAGGAGCCTTTCAGCTCGCTCACTCTCTATCTCTGTCTCTGTCTGTCTCTGGAAAGCAACACACACACACACACACACACACACACATACACACACACACACTCCTGGCTCCTAGCTGGCTAAGTCACCTGCTGGAAAGACGTCCCTGGAACAAGTGGGCAGCAGAAAGCAAAGACAAGTCACCTTTCTTGGAAGCTTTATAGGGCCACAGCTTGTGGGGCTCTTGGAAAAGAGACCCGGCCAGGGGAGGGAGAAAGGGTTTGGTGGGATTAGTGGGCTCCCTCCTTTTCCTTCTTGGACTCCATACTACCAACAACTCCTCCCGGAGTCCTGCCCTGAGCCTCTGAACGGGTCCCCCACGTGCCTGTATTCCCACTTTCCCTCTCTGGGTGACCTCTGAAGGGCTATTTGCATTGGGTGAATTCACTTGGTAGACAGGCATCCAGGACAGCTGACTGAGGGGCAGGGACCAGCCACCATTCGTCCTTGGCTATTCTTCAGCATCTATTTGTTACTCGGTGAGACAAAAAAATACTGCCCGTGTAATAAGTGGAAAACTACAGAAAACAAGAGTTCATTTTATGATTTACTTTGGCCTCTTCAAGATTACTGAAGCTGGGAGACATTTCTCAACAACTGCTTTCAAATGCCTCAAGAATGGCTTTCTCTTTTTGGGATTTTGTTGTTGTTATTGTTAGTATTTTGTTTGGGGGCCACGCCCAGTGGTGCTCAGGGCTTACTCCTGGCTCTGTGCTCAGGGATTACTCCTGGCGGGGCTTGGGGGAACCATATGGGATGCTGGGGATGGAGCCTGGTTGGCTGCATGCAGCAAGAACCTAACCTACTATACTAGTTGGCCCCAATCTAAAACTTCTTGTTTATTCGACTCCACAAAAATCTGTGCCCATGTATGAATCTGGGTCTTAGTGCCCACTCCCTCACTACCAAGTTCTATGTTGCCAGCACTTGCCCTCCTGAGCATTCATTAGTTTTGTGTGCTTGCAAAAGCAAAACCTGCTTCCTCTACCCTAAACCTTCTGGTTTGGGGCCAGAAACGTTGAACAGCAGGTGGGCAGTTACCTTGCATGGAGCCAACCTAGGTACAATTCCCTGGCATTCCACATGGTGTCCCGAGCCTACCAGTAGTTCAGAGTCCTGAGTTCAGAGCCAGGAGTAACCCCTGAGGGTTGCCAGCTATGGCTCCCAAACTTAAAAACAAAATAAAACCAAGCCTTCTCCTGCAGACTGTTGTAGCCTTAGGAGAAAGTCTGTGCTCCTCTCTAGGTCTGTGGAAACAGAACTCTGAAAGTGGATGGGTACTGGCTAATGCAGTTTACACTATAACCCCCACCATGAGCCTTACAAAATCATTATGAAACTGCAAATAGTACTTATCAAGGAGCTTCACAATAGATTCTTGGACCCAGGAAAGGCCTAATGGCTCTTACTACATCAACAATGAGGAAATGCCTCAGAAAAATTGTCATTTATTTTTATTTTTACTTATTTATTTTTAATGTAGGAGTACTGCTATTTGTTCAGCCACTGACTAAAGTGGGCATGAATTCCACATTACTTTTCTTTTTTTTTTTTTTCAAAAAATGTTTTGAGGGCCTGGAACAATAGCACAGCGGGTAGAGTGTTTGCCTTGCATGCAGCCGACCTTGGATTCCATTCCCAGCATCCCATATGGTCCTCCGAGCACTGCCAGGAGTAATTCCTGAGTGCAGAGCCAGGAGGAACCCCTGAGCATTGCCGGGTGTGACCCAAAAAGAAAAAAAAGAAAAAAAATTTTTGAATATTCATCAGACGGATCATTACAAAGCTATTCATGATTGGATTTCAATCATAACAATGATCCAACATCCATTCCTCCACCAGTGCACATTTTCCACCACCAGTGTCTCCCATTTCCCTCTCACCAGCCCTCACTCAACACCTAACAACCCTCCCCGCCCCAGCAGCCTGCCTCTATGGCACTTTTCTTTCTTTCTTTCTTCCTTTCTTTCTTTCTTTCTTTCTTCCTTCCTTCCTTTCTTTCTTCCTTTCTTTCTTTCTTTCTTTCTTTCTTTCATTCTCTCTCTCTCCCTCTCTCTCTCTCTCTCTCTCTCTCTCTCTTTTCTCCTCTCTCTCTCCATTTTGGTTTGCAATACAGATACTAAGGGATCATCCTGTGTCTTCAGGGCATTCAGTATTTTTATCAGAAAGGTAAGGCTGGAGTAGCTTTCTTAACCAGGTGGCAGCTTTGGGGTGTGGACGTGACTGCGGAACTTCCAGAAGTACAGGGAGGTTGGGGCATGTAGCCTATTCTAACTCTGAGAAAGCCTGAAAATTTCAGTCACAAAACCCACATACCCAAATTTTCAACAGGTTAATAACTTAGTGATATCCGTCCTGAGATGGTGGAGTCTGGCCGGGGGTATGGTGGTGATTTTGGATTGTGGGAGCAAGCGGCTGCCAGGGACGCTGCTTGGCAGACTTGCTGGACTGACCCACCCCCCTACAATTTACACCCGTCTGTTCAGCCTTGCATAGATCTGAGATTAACTGCAGCTTTTGATCTCTTTTGAGATTTATTTACTGGCCTCTGAAGCAAGGCCGATAAATGAACTTGAATAGCTGAGCTGGAGGTGGTGTGTGGGCATGGATCCCACATACCTAACTTTTGGTCATTTAGTTTCTCGGGAAACTTGGTCCTGAGTTGTTGGGGTTCAGCCAGATACAATTTTGAGGTATCAGGAAGCCTAAGGCACCGCCAGGCTGCTTATGCACTCGCCCCGCGGGTACAGGTTGATTTGCTGGCAGCACCACCCCTCCCAGTCATTTATTTTTAACACAACCTCTTTGGGGTTAACTCAACTTCTTTGGGGTGTTTTTTGCCTTAGAGCCACACCCAGAGGCTCTCAGGAGTTATTCCTGGCTCTGTCTTCAGGAGTGAGCCCTGCAGGGCTCAGGGGACCGGATGCAATGTTGGGGATTGTGCCAGGATCGGAGGAATGCAAGGCAAGTGACTTAATCCTGGGGCTAGGCCTGATAACACAACCTTGTAATGGCCCTACCAGCGTGCTAACCTAGGTCATCAAATACCAAAAGTCAAGCTCTGTGCTGCTAGACTAATGTCAGAGAAGATGCTTACATACCTGCACACCAGTATCTGCTTATTGCCTAAGATCTTCTAACCTTTAATGTTTCCTTCATGTCAGTGAAAGTACCCTGCTGCCGGGGAGGGTGAGTACAGTGAGTAGGGCATTTGCCTGGTACCCAGCCAATCTGGGGTTCAGTCCCTGGCACCATATATGGTTCCCTGAACCCACGAGGAGTGATCCTGAGCACAGAGCCACGAGTAAGCCCTGAGCACCACCGGGTGTGGCCAAATACACACACACACACACACACACACACACACACACACACGCATGCACGCGCACCTTTTCTTCAGTCTCGGTTCAGCAAGCAACTGAGTGGTTCTGGGTGGGTATCTTGTGACTCTAGGTAGCCAATCCATAGAACTAAACCATGGCAGTAAAGTTTAGCTGGATCAAGCCAATTTTCAATGCAGGAAACACTAAGATGAAAGCACAATTAGCAGTGACAGTTGAAACTGAAAGGATATAAAAAGGAATCCGAGTTGCCATATGTCTCGTAATATATACAGTGCGACATATTCATATATAGTTGTGTATGCAAATTTGTATATTCATGTATACAAAATTGAATATATTATATGCAAAATATATCCATACATGCAAAGTTGCACAAGTGGCTATTATTAATTTTATTTAAGTTTTTATTATTTGGGGGCCA